CCGAGGCCCGTCCGGGCCCAGGCCCGAAGCCCGAACCGGCCTGGTTCAGTCCAGCCCTACTCCCATCTGGAATAGCTTTATGAATAGTTTTATACTATGTAGCTTTATGAATTGTTTTAGTGGGACATGAGCTTCGTAAATGTTGCAGACTTGTTCAATTGCTTTATGAATTAATTTAAAGAGGACCTTTGTAATTGTTCAAAAAGTAATTGAACAGTAATTGCTGCAGACCTATTGTCTAGCTTTATGAATTGTCTTAATATGCGTGCCATCCCTTCCGTCCCAAACATAGAGGGACGGAGGGAGTAATAGATTAGTGTCTGTATTTAGCACTGTCTTATGTGTAGATGTACATTTTGTCTTGTTTGTGTGTAAGAAATATATGTCTGTGAAATATATCTCTACACATCCTGTTAAGAATGTAGCGACCGCGGTATGTTCTTTCGAAATTAAGTTTCCCTTCAAGGAAAAGATATAAAAAAATATTGTTTGTGTGTGCTATTTTTAGTGTCTGTATGTAGCAATGTTTTATCTGTATGTAAATTTCGTGTTGTCTGTGTATAATTAATAAATGTATGTAAAATACCAAATAGTTAGGGTGGAGGGGATAAATCTTGGCATGTTCTTGCTGAAGATCAAAATATGTCTGCAGATCCTATTTTGAATGTCTCGACTGGGGTATGTTGTTTACCTTTTTCGGTTTTGGTTTTAATCATTGCAAATTAAGTTCTTTAAGAAATAGGTATAAAAGGTTATTGTTAGTGTGGTACGGTGTCTCAGTGTCTGTATATGGCAATATTTTATCTGTATGTATATTTCGTGTTATCTGTGTATAAGTGATATATGTTTGTCAAATACCAAATGCTTCTGGTGAAGGGGAGAAATCTACTTATGTTGTTAGTGAAGCACAAAATTTGGAAATAGATTATGTAATGAACGTAGTGGCCGAGGTATGTTGAAGGATGCATTCATACCGGTTGTGGTTTTTACATTTTTGTTGGTGAAGAACATTTTTGCATTAATCATTCGAAATTAAGTTCTCCTTCATTTCGAAATTGAAGTGGGAATCCTAACAAAGGAAGAACGCATGTATGAGGACTGTCTCACTCCCACATATCTTTTGATGTGCCTAAATGAGGTGCACATTGTGATATGCAAACAATTTTTTATTTACACAAACAGTACACAGTTCACACAAACAGTACACATTAAGTGCACAGGCAAATTAAACATGTGTTCACCGATATATATATTTGTGTGCGCGTATATAACTCCCCTAACTTTGATCAATTTGTGTAGGTGGAAGATGACAAGTTCCCTGCTTTGATAGCCCTCGGTCCATTTGAAAACTTGGATTGGGATCTCGTTGGTGATGATGTTGGGACTGCTGGTGTAGACATGAAGGCCATTGAAGAAGTTAGTATGAAAGAAGTGAGGAAGAGAAAGCAATTCAGAGTGAAGTACATATGCAGCCCATACATTGCTCCAATGGCTAAGAGGCTTAAGGTTGGCATTCACATTTACATCAAACTAAGATTTAAATGTTTGTTTCAACACTGTCATGCACATTAACATCAAACGAAGATTTAAATCTAAACCACTACAATTCATCATGTCATTAGAATTCTCCTGTCCATTGCCATGCTCAGAGGTCGGTTGTGGGGTACTTGCATTGTCATTCCTAGCCCTTGATTTCTTCTTCCCCTTCTTCCATGGTCCTTTTTGGCGGTTGTTCCTCTGTGCAACCTTGCGCCTTGCACACTTAGAGCATCTCCAATGGAGAGGTGCATTGCACCTCCACATCACCAAATGCATTTTCTATGGTACATGCTCCCTCCAATGCAATAAAAAATAGACCTAGTCTAGCTTATGTGGCATTTGCAAAAGTGGAACACGGTCTCACCCAAGGTCTATATTGGGACCTTCCATGCGACCTCCTGACACAATAAAATTGATATGTGTGGGCCTATGTTCAATTACACCCAATCACTTTATTTTAGTTTGTTTTGTTATTTTTTTGTTTTGAGTTTTTTTTATGTTGCATTGGAGAGGTATCCGAATGAACACTCTCATTTGGGTAATATTTGGCCCACATGATCAATGCACCTTGTCCAAATTCTTGCCATGTCAGCTACAATGAACCCTATGCATTGGAGTTGCTCTTAGGATCTCCAATGATTTTCGGAACCTCACCTTGCACACCACTATTCAATTTTGGGATAGATGTTAGGTTGCAACACATGAAAAAACGATTAACATGGGGAGGAATATATGTGGACATTTGAGTGTCCAACCAAAGAAGAACACTTTGGTACTTCTCATCATCATCTGCAATCATATTTGCAAGTGATTCAAACGTATTGCACAACTTATGAAAGTGTTCTTGTTTCACCGTTGTGATCCACCCATTGTAATTGATTTTCACTTCGTGTAAACTAATTTAACATATTTCCTCCATCTTTTCAATAGGTAGACCGCGGGCAAGAGCTCCAATTCAAGCGGAAGTAAGACCACACTCAAGTGTCTTAATACCATACCCCTAAATTTAAACAAGTGATACTATATGTTCCAAAAGTAGTTAATGAGTCATATTCAACAACAAAGTTAAAGGTCTTTCGAAACCCATTAATCTTTCGAACCTCCTTCACATTACATTTTCTATCACCTTCGCTTTGTAAGAGATCACAATACAATGTACTTCCAACTCCATCTTGAAACTCAATGAACTTAGCTAGGGTGTAAATTTCTTGGACTGGTTCTTCCATTTCAAATGCTGTAACACAATGAATCGTTTTTGCAAACGAACTTGTATTAACGTGAAATTCCTTCTACCTTACTTTGCAATGCGCATTCGTATTGCTCAACGAATTGTTTAAGACTGGTTTTCAAATTCACATAGTCATCGAAAAAAGCATTGATACTTTTACTTCGTTGAGTTTTAGACATACCCGCCCAGAAGGTTGGCTTTAAGAAACATGGTACCCACCGGTGTCGTTCGTTGTACATCACTGGAATTTATTCATGGCCTTCTAGAGAATACCTGAAACAACATTAAAAATATATATGAAGTACATACACGATGTCTGCCCACAGCCCACAGACACTATTGTGTCTATGGTGTACATTTTTTATGTCTGTGCCAGACAAATTATTTCCTACACAGAAAATATCTTTCTAGTATGGTCACACAATCTTAGCACATATACAATATTTTATCTGCTTGCAAACATTAAGGTATCTGTGTTGTACATTACAAATGTCAATGTAGTAAAAAAATTGTATGTGTCATGATCATACAAATTCGTCTCTGCCCACAAACAATATACTATTTGTGTAATACACTTACTTTGTCTGTAAAGTGAATACAAATTTAATTCACAGACAAAATACTTCTGTAATGGTCAAATTTTGAAGGAGATAAAGAGTACCTTTGTATTCCTTCCAACCTTGCTCAAATTCTGGAACATATTGTGAGTCATTAATGGATTAATGAATAGCATCCAAAAATAATTTCCCCTGTAATTCCTCCCATTTTTTCCGGTACCTTTTTCATAATATGTCATAGGCACCATCCGTGTCTTGTATTTGGGAAAACAATTTGGATGACATTTTGCATTGCACGGTCTTCATCTGTAATAATGCCCATCGGAGCAAGTCCTTCCATACACACAAGCCATGCTTTAAATAGCCACACGAATGTTTTCGTATGTCCATTATTAGAGATTAATTTGCACCCTAGCAAAATTGATTGACCATGATGATTAACTCCCACAAGTGGTGCAAAAGGCATATATGTCATAGCAATTCGTGAGGTAGGTCGTGTAAAAGGTAACAACATCTCCAAAATCTTTGTATGCATATCTACATCGATTGTCGGCCCAAAACACATTACGCAATCGGGAATCATCATCTAAATCAACGACGGAGAAAATTCGGGACATTGAGCTTGCATTGTAACAAAAAAATCATGAATTGTCATGACATCATCACTCCCTAATCTAAGTTGTCTTACCTTTTCCATGTAGTTCCTACAATCTTTTTCAATAAAAGGAAGTTGATCATATCCACTGGCTTCAACAATGGCTGCATTGAAGGTTTTATGGAGTCATATCTCAGCCACATCATTGATTGCAATTTGCCTCAAAGTCCTATGGCACCGGAATATGCGAGCCTTCGTTGGACTAATGGAATGGGTGTGCTTAAGACAAATTTTTGAAATTTCTCAATGTCTTATCATAATTTGTGTGTCCTCACATTCTTGCTCCGCACCCCATTTGCATTGAAGGTTGACGCTTCAATTGATTTTTTGACCTAGTAGATCTACTAACAGCACGAGAACACTCTAGTAACACTCCAACTATATCTACTCCATTTTCGTGTTTGGTGGTACTCCTAGCTCTTATGGGAAATCCTAAAAGCTTTCCATATGTCTTGCAAAAATCATATACCGCTTCTTTGCTATCATATTACATACCAACATTCGGAGCTTTTATAGAACCAACGTCACTCTCATTTTGCTGAATTTCTCCATCCGACCAACATTCATGTATTTCAACGAATAAAGAATGTGCGGATGTGAACATTCACAGATAGAAGTATATTTACACACAGAGGCAGTGGTATATTTACGCATAGACAGAAGTATATATACACACAGACAGAAGTATATTTACATACAAACATTTCAAACAAAAGTATATTTACACACAGACCCACCCTAAGTAAATTTAAAACTTTTTTGAACACAGACACGATTATATACACTTCACAAACACACAGACGATATTATACACTTCACACAAACACTACACAAATACAGACAATTGTCTGTGAAGAACAAATACATTTGCTTTGAACATAAATATATGTTCTTCACAGACAATTGTCTGTATTTGTGTAGTGTTTGTGTGAAGTGTATAATATCGTCTGTGTGTTTGTGAAGTGTATATAATAATGTCTGTGTTCAAAAAAGTTTTAAATTTACTTATGTCTGTGTGTAAATATACTTTTGTTTGAAATGTTTGTGTGTAAATATACTTCTGCCTGTGTGTATATATACTTCTATCTGTGCGTAAATATATCACTGCCTTTGTGCGTAAATATATCACTGCCTCTGTGCGTAAATATACTTCTGTCTGTGCATGTTCACATCCGCATATTTTTTATTCATTGAAATACATGAATGTTGGTCCAATGGAGAAATTCAGCAAAATGAGAGTGATGTTGGTTCTATAAAAGTTCCGAATGTTTGTATGGAATTTGATAGCAAAGAAGCGGTGTATGATTTTTACAAGACATATGGGAAGCGTTTGGGATTTCCCATAAGAGCTAGGAGGACCACCAAACACAAGAATGGAGTAGATATAGTTGGAGTGTTGCTAGAGTGTTGTCGTGCGGTAGTAGATTTACTAGGTCAACAAATCAATTGAAGCCGCAACCTTCAATGCAAATGGGGTACAGAGCAAGAACACGAGCACACACAAATTATGCGGGACGTTGGAAAATTTCAAAAAAATGTCTTGAGCATACCCATCCCATGAATCCAATGAAGGTTCGCCCATTCCGGTGCCATAGGACTTTGACACCCAAAGTAATGAGGCAAATTGCAATCAACGATGTGGCCGGAATACGACTTCATAAAACCTTCAATGCAGCCGTTGTATGAAGCCAGTGGATATGATCAACTTCTTTTTATTGAAAAAGATTGTAGGAACTACATGGAAAAGATAAGACAACTTAGATTAGGGAGTGGTGATGTCATGACAATTCATGATTTTTTTGTTACAATGCAAGCTCAATGTCCCGAATTTTTCTCCGTCGTTGATTTAGATGATGATTCCCGATTGCGTAATGTGTTTTGGGCCGACAATCGATGTAGATATGCATATAAAGATTTTGGAGATGTTACCTTTTACACGACCTACCTCACGAATTGCTATGACATATATGCCTTTTGCACCACTTGTGGGAGTTAATCATCATGGTCAATCAATTTTGCTAGGGTGCAAATTAATCTCTAATAATGGACATACGAAAACATTCGTGTGGCTATTTAAAGCATAGGGGTGGCAGCGGGTCGGATTTTCACCGGGTGGAGGCTCATCCACGTCCACCCGTTAATTTTTTATACTCCACCCACCCGTCCATCATCCATTAAAAATTACATCCACATCCAACCCATCCATCTTGAACGGATTATCGGGTGGATCGGGTGAGTAGCGGGTGAAATATAAATGTTCAAACTTGAGACAAAATAAATAAATTACAAAGAGAAATCATGACAATTAAGAACCAAAAATTAAGAATTCATTGTAAAATAACAACATGAGCAATAAAGTATATTACAATCATTAATTCACTCCCAATTACAAAGAAAAAAACTGAATGTTAAACAAAATAGACATAAAACTTCTTCAAGTTGTTAAATTCTGCATTTATGCATTGGCACAAAACTATTTTTGCTATTTAACTGCCACTTCTTGAAGCTCTCCAATTATCTTTGTTTCACCAATTAACTATTATTATTATTATTATTTTATTTATATTATTATTATTATTATATATTATTAAATAGATATAATATATTTTATATATTATATATTATATACTTATGTGCGGGTCTGCGGGTGGGTGGATGGAACGGGTGACGGGTCGGGTGATGGGTTGGATGAGCCTTCATCCACACCCGATCCACCCCGTCTTTCGATCCACCCGTCATCCATTTTTCATCCATACTTCTTCGGGTTTTCATCCATACTTTCGGTTCGGGTTGACCGGGTATCCGCGGGTGCGGGTGATATTGCCAGCCCTATTAAAGCATGGCTTGTGTGTATGGAAGGACTTGCTCCGATGGGCATTATTACAGATGAAGACCGTGCAATGCAAAATGTCATCCAAATTGTTTTCCCAAATACAAGACACGGATGGTGCCTATGACATATTATGAAAAAGGTACCGGAAAAAATGGGAGGAATTACAGGGGAAATTGTTTTTGGATGCTATTCATTAATCCATTAATGACTCACAATATGTTCCAGAATTTGAGCAAGGTTGGAAGGAATACAAAGGTACTCTTTATCTCCTTCAAAATTTGACCATTACAGAAGTATTTTGTCTGTGAAATAAATTTATATTCACTTCACACACAAAGTAAGTGTATTACACAGACAGTATATTGTTTTTTCAGGGCAGAGACAAATTTGTATGATCATGACCACAGACGAATTGTTTTTACTACACTGACATTTGTAATGTACAACACAAACACCTTTATATTTGCGGGCAGATAAAACATTATATATGTGCTAAGATTGTGTGCCCATACAAGAAAGACATTGTCTGTGTAGGAAAGACATTTGTCTGTCACAAGCATGAAAAATGTACACCATAGACACAATAGTGTATGCGGGCAGACATCGTGTATGTACTTCATACATATTTTTAATGTTGTTTCAGGTATTTCCTAGAAGGCCATGAATGGCTTCCAGTGATGTACAACGAACAACATCGGTGGTTACCATGTTTCTTAAAAGCAACCTTCTGGGCGAATATGTCTACCACTCAACAAAGTAAAAGTATCAATTCTTTTTTCGATGACTATGTGAATTCCAAAACTAGTCTTAAACCATTCGTTGAGCAATACGGACGCGCATTGCGAAGTAAAGTAGAAAAAGAATTTCACGATACAAGTTCGTTTGCATAAACGATTCCTTGTGTTACAACATTTTAAACAGAAGAACAAGTCCAAGAAATTTACACTCTAGCTAAGTTCAAGGAGTTTCAAGATGAACTTGTAAGTACATTGTATTGTGATCTCCTACAAAGCAAAGGGGATAGAAAATTTAATGTGAAGGAGGTTCGAAAGATTAATGGGTTTCGAAAGACCGTTAACTTCGTTGTTGAATATGACTCATTAACTACTTTAGGAATATGTAGTTGTCACTTGTTTGAATTTAGGGGTATGGTATGTAGACACTTGATTGTGGTCTTACTTCGGTTTGGATTAGAGCTCTTGCCTGAGGTCTACCTATTGAAAAGATGAAGGAAAGATGTTAAAAGATCTTACACGAAGGTGAAAATAAGTTACGATGGGTGGATCACAACGGTGGAACATGAAAGCTTTCATAAGTTGTGCAAGACGTTTGAATAATTACTTACAAACATGATTGGGGATGATGATGATGAGAGGTACCAAAGTGTTCTTTATTTGGACACTCAATTGTCCACATATACTATTCCTCAAGTTAATCGTTCTTCCATATGTGGCAACTTAACATCTATCACAATGGTGTGCAAGGTGAGGTTCCAAAAATCATTGGAGATCTTAAATGTGCAAAGCGCAAGGGTGCATCGAGGAAAACCACCAAAAAGGACCATTGGAGAAGGGGATGAAGAAATCAAGGGCTAGGAATGACAATGCAAGTACCCCACAACCGACCTCTGAGCATGGCAATGGACAGGGGGATCTTAATGACATGATGAATTGTAGTGGTTTAGATTTAAATCTTAGTTTGATGTAAATGTGCATGGCAGTGTTTAAACGGATATTTAAATCTTAGTTTGATGTAAATGTGCATGCCAACCTTAAGCCTCTTAGTCATTGGAGCAATGTATGGGTTGCATATGTACTTCGCTCTGAACCGCTTTCTCTTCATCACTTCTTTCATACTAACTTCTACAATGACCTTCATGTCTACACCAGCAATCCCAACATCATCACCAACGAGATCCCAATCCAAGTTTTCAAATGGACCGGGGGCTGTCAAAGCAGAGAACTTGTCATCTTCCACCTACACAAATTGATCAAAGTTAAGGAAGTTATATACGCACACACAAATATATACCGGTGAACACATGTTTAATTTGCATGTGCACTTAATGAGTATTGTTTGTGTGAAGTGTGTACTGTCTGTGTAAATAAAAAAAATGTTTGCATATCACAATGTGCACCTCATTTAGGCACATCAAAAGATTTGTGAGAGTGAGACAGTCCTCATACATGTGTTCTTCCTTAATTTGTTCAGATTGTCACTTCAACTTCGAAATGAAGGAGAACATAATTTCGAACGATTAATGCAAAAATGTTCTTCACCAACAAAAATGTAAAAACCACAACCGATATAAATACATCCTTCAACATACCTCCACCACTACGTTCATTACAGGATCTATTTCCAAATTTTGTGCTTCACCAACAACAGCAGTAGATTTCTCCCCTTCAGCAGAAGCATTTAGTATTTGACAGACATATATCACAGACATATATCACTTATACACAGACAACACGAAATATACATACATATAAAACATTGCTATATACGGGCACTAGAAACACCACACTAACAATAACATTTTATACCTATTTCTTGAAGAACTTAATTTGCAATGATTAAAACAAAACAAAAAAGGTAAACAACATATCTCAGTCGGCGACATTCACAATATGATCTGCAGACGTAATTTGATCTTCAGCAAGAACAAGACAAGATTTATCCTCTTCACCCTAACCATTTGGTATTTCACAGATATTTATTACTTATACACAGACAACACAAAATGCATATACAGATAAAACATTGCTACATACAGACACTAAAAATAGCACACACAAACAATAACATTTTATACCTTTTAATTTCCTCAAAGGAGAACTTAATTTCGAAAGATTAAGATCAAAACCTGTAACAAGTTAAACAACATACCACGGTCGCTACATTCTTAACAGGATGTGTAGACATGGTTTTATCTTCAGCAACAATATCACAACATGTATCCCCTTCAACCTAACCATTTGGTATTTCACAAACATATATTACCTGCACATAGACAAGACAAAATGTACATACACATAAGACAATGCTAAATACAGACACTAATCTATTATGATAAGAGTCACACAATTGGTTAATTTGTAATTAGTTAGTGCTCTATAATTCAAACATTAATGCTTAAATGTAATTTGTTCCATATTCTTTTTACAAAGTTTTTATTATTTGCTCCTTTTCAATATTTTTAGGGAAAATTCCCAAAATAAGACTACAACAATTTGAAAATTCCAAAATAGGACTGCCATATTTTTTATTCCCAAAATAGGAGTAATTACTGTCAAGTTTGGAAAATACTGCCATGTTTGAAGTCTGGTACTGCCAAAACATGACAGTAATTAGTCCTATTTTGGGAATAAAAACATGGCAGTCCTATTTTAGAATTTTCAAACCTTTTTAGTCTTATTTCGGGTAATATTCTTATTTTTTATCTAGTCTTTATATTTTACAACTCCAATGTATACAGTACAATTTTCGACTTTGTCCACATATAATATGTTCCTTTTTCTTTTAGAATGATGATGGGAAATGCAAGAACTTTAACTACTTCTAAAATGAACTTAAAGATTGCTAAATACAGACACTAAAATAAGCACACAAACAACAACATTTTATACCTTTTCCTCAACTGGAGTGTTTGAGGATTGCAAATTTTCAGGGCCAATAAACTCAACATGTTTTGCAGAAACTTCTTTTTCTTCTTCCCGCTGACTTGGGACAGAAGGGCCCCCCTTACAAACCAAAAGAAATGTATATAGTAAGGATACATACAAACAAATATGTACTAAATACAGAAAAAGCAAATCACTACACAAACAAATAATATTTATACCTTTTCCTTTAAAACAATGTGTACTCTATCAATAACTTGAAGCAGCAGGTCTTTCAGTGCACCAAGATCCTTTTCCACCCTTTTCTCCAGCCTATGAACACCTGTTTTGATCTTGTCAATACTTGCACACATTTCTTCAACTCTATCTCTAATTTCTACTTCAGGATTGTCTTCATCTTCATCATCGGAAGTAGGAGGTGTAGGAACCTCCTACAAAAGCATGAACATGAGTTGGTATTATAAATATTATAAATATTTATATATAAGGAGACAATGATAATGATAAACTAGGAATGATAAAGTAAGAAGACTTACATCAGCAAACACAATTTTCCGTATCTTGGAAGGTTGGAATTACGCCGCAAACATTTAAAGTGTTCCCCAAATTTAGGAATTTTTTCATACGCCCACACCTAAATAAAAATATGTTAAGTCAAGAAAAATAGATTCAGTAACACAGACCATAAACATGTTTGGGAAGGAAATGTATTGTCTGTGAGCTTTTATAAACATGTCTGGAAAGGACAGGCAGTGTATGTGAGCATTTAAAAACATGTTTGGGAAGGACGTGTAATGTCTGTGAGCATTTATAAACATGTCTGGGAAGGATAGGAAGTGTTTGTGAGCATTTATAAACATGTCTCAAAAGGACATGTATTGTCTGTGGCAGAAAATACTTGTAGAATACAGTACAAAATCAAACAAAATAAATGTCATACCTTTAGGACCAATGGCATACCGTACACTGATAACTTAGCTTTTTATTTCCAGGGACGTTAGCCTTATTGTCGATAAACTTCGTCGACTGCCATCAAGAAGACCCTTTAAAAGTGTGACTAGCAAATTGTAAGCGTCTCTCGACCACAACTCCTTGAACTCCTCAAACTCATTAACCAGCTTAATAGACCTCCAGCTAATCTTGGTTGTTCTGTCTCTTCCCAGCAATACGTTCTCAACCAAGAAGAGGGATGCAAGCTTGACACCTAGCACTCCATTACCTTTTCTACTAAGACGTACTTTTTTAACCTTGTCCTTCACCATCTGAAAAGTGATATCCAGTGATCCGCCAAAATATGTATTAGCAACCTCCCCAGCTTCTTCCATTTCTTTAGCCTCTTCATCAGATTTTCACTCTCTTCAGCCACGACGGGCTTAAGGGCTGCCGGAGGTAATCCAGTAATGCGGCATAAATCATTATTCGTGAATTCCACAATTTTACCCTCCACTACACAGAACCAGTGCTCATCTTCAGGCTATTGCTTCACAAGGCGTAACAATAACATGTGCACAATTTCAGCAAAGACTTGAATCTCAGGTATATCTGCAAGGTGACCGCATGCTGTATTCCGGAATAGTTCCATTTGTTTCTTAGACAACATGTTATGAATGTACTTCGAAGCATATTTCACGTTTGAACACAGAATACTGCGCACGGAAATTCTTACTCAAAGGAATCTGAAGTTCAAGTGCCCTACGATTGTAAGAAAATAAACCATAAGCACACAGACATATGTTAAGTCACATAGACAACCATTCAGTTAGATACCAACATAAAATCAGTCACACAGACATAAGTATAGTCACTTATGTTTAACTTTTGTAATTACAGGGGCAATCATTTCTATTTTTGTCATTACAGGCCTACATGGGGTGAGTTTTGCAAACATGAACAACATAATTGGGCACAAATAGGTTGTTAACCAAAAAAGTAGAAAACATATATAAAAAAAATGCAAAATGGGTAAAACTTAAGTACACTGCACAAAACAAGAGTACTTGTGTTTATCATTAACATAGAACCAATTTCATCTTCATAAAACAGTAAAATCAGTTAATCTTCTTGTTTGGGAGTGAGAGTCATATTTTTATGAAGAAAAGTAATGGACTTATTTGAGTAGTTGTGTTATTTTGAGAAGATTTCATTTTTAATAAAACTACAAAGTAACATACACTCAAATAACTATATAAATTTAATTGTAATGAAAAAAGTTGATTATTTTTTATTCTTAAAACTTTCTTTCAACATTCCGCATGAATTTAAGGCACACAAAGTCCAAATCAACCAAGGTATTTTAATGAACTTGATCCTTAGTTGGAGAAGTGCACCGCAATTGTACAATACATTGGAAAAATCATTACTTTTTCGAAAGTCCTAGAGATTTTTTCTTTTGGACCTGTTTTAATCTTATAGCGTTATGTAGAATCACACATACAATCATATTAGTCACACAGACATATGTAGAGTCACACAGACAATCATATAAGTTTTCACAGACAAATGGAACCACAATCAATTACACATGAGTTCACACAGACAAATATTTAGAGAAATCTATCTTCACAGTGACAATACATGTCCTTCAATAGGCATAAAATCAACCTTATGCAGACAATACATATCCCCACCTGACATTTTCCCAAACAAATACGATGGTATATACTCCCTCCGTCCCGAAAACAATTTCCCGGTTGGACTTTCACACACTTTTAGAAAATAAATTTGACTTTACTGTAGAATGCACTGTTTTGCACTGTTTAAACACTGTTTGGCATTGTTTAAACACTGTTTGGCACTGTTTAAACACTGTTTGGCACTGTTTATCACTTTTTTGATGTAGATAATTTGCCAAATAAGGAAAGTATTGAAGTGTGAAGTTAATTTTGGGACATCCATTTAAGGAAAGTGGGAAGTTGTTTTCGGGACGGAGGGAGTATTATTCAAGATCCAAGCACTGGATGGGTTGAAAAACTTTATAAACAAAAATATCTTGTTTCATCCTCCAAATAAACATCATCAACTATATCAAAACTGTAAAAACTCTAAGGATAGAGGATACATGCCTTTCGGTCATGGAAGAAAGTGGGGTTCGACTGAGACAGAATCGACGGCGGGGAGGAGGGCTGCCTTCGACGAGAGTTGCCGGGGACGAAAGGGAAAGTTGTGGCGGTTCATTTACACATTATCTTCATGGGATTGCATTTTGCTTTCGCCTAAAACGTATGCTGAATGGCTTACAAATTTTTTTTTTTGCTGAATGGCTTGCTCTTTCTCTGTTCATTTATACTGGAAGCCATTTGTGAGTGAATGATTATGGTCACTCCTCCCGAGGTTTATACACGAAAGTGAAAAACCGGAATCTTCCTTTCACCGAACGGTAATTTCTCGATATTGATCCATTATTACTCTTCTGGTCATTTTTTCAACTCAAAAAAATAGTCGGCAGTTTGAATAGCACACACCTCCGAGTTCGAATTCTCTGCGTGTCGCCCCACCACAGTTTACAGTGTGGACGCGGGGGCTGTTGAGTTCAGCGCTGCGGGTATGACCTCTGATCCGATTTGCCAACTAATCCAAGTACACAACAGTCGCGTGCTAGCTCCGTTGCGTACAGTCTGGAGATTGGACAGTGTGAGAAAAAGCTGAAATGGGAAATATTTTTCATATATTTCTACTTTTGATCCCCGTTTTTGTGGGGGCGGCTGCAGCAAACCGTAATCCCATGATTGCTTTATCTACCAAATCCGAACTGAGGACATCGACGAAATCCGCCTCCGACGGGAATCTGAATTACCGGCCGATCATCGGAATCGTCAGTCATCCCGGAGACGGAGCTAATGGCCGCCTCAGTAATGCTACCAACGTTTCCTACATTGCCGCTTCTTACGTCAAGTTCGTTGAGTCTGGTGGTGCTAGAGTCATTCCTCTTATTTATAACGAGCCTTCCGATATTCTCATCCAAGTAAGGCTCTTAATGCTTCAGGCTCTGCAAATTTTGGGGCTTTTCATCTGTTAAATAATGATTAATTTACAGAAACTCAATTTAGTTAATGGTGTACTGTTCACTGGAGGATCTTCCAAGAAGGGACCGTACTTTGAGGTTGTCAAGGGAATTTTCCAGGTAATTGGTCTTTAAGAAATGAAGTGATTGCTAAACATGTACTCCATATCAATTTTAATTAGCTAGCAACTACAAGTTCTGGGAGAGAGGTTTCTAGCTTTTCATTTTCAACACCCACTCTAAGCAACATCAAATTAATTTTGTATTAAATCCTACGGCTATGAGATTCTTCTCAATTATCATAGATTCATAATGAGTAAACATTAGGTTTGAATTAAAAGCCATAATAAAAATTATGAAATTATGGAATGTGATGATACTGACTTAAAGTAGAGAATGCAGCTATGCTTGCTTCCCATTTACTCCATATGTTTCATGGTTTATGGTTATACATGTACATGTGTGTGTGTTTCTTGTCCCTCCCATTGGTCATAACAAAAAGTGGTTTTTGTCGAGCATGGTATAACCATATATGCATAATTGTTATCCATCATCTGGAGTATCATTATTGTTGTTTTTGCTCTTATATTTATAATCATAATATCATCTTCTTCTTCTTGAAAAATTGTTAGATACTGAATTTGTAGCCCCTTTCTTTTTCTTGCAGAATGTCTTAGAGAAGAACGATGCAGGAGATTATTTCCCTCTTCTTGCCATCTGTTTGGGTTTTGAACTTTTAACAATGATTATCACAAAGGTATCTCTATTCGTGTTTTATACCTAAAGCAAGTTTATTGATGGTTCACTCACTTCACTGTAATAAGTTTTTTTAATCTTTTTTCTAGCATAGAGGTTGCACTGTAGAAAGAAGCAAACCTCTTATCACAAGGAAAGTATAACTAGGACATTCTAGAATGCATAGGTATGCTTGATTGCAAACTAGAGCTGCTAGATTAATTGGCTCTTTAGTTGATATTTTCTAAATTTCTAGTACTTCACAAAAGAGCAAACGCATTGAACTCGATTACTTCTTTATTCAAGAAAAAGTTAGTTTTGGAGAGATCACTGCCTCATTTGTTAGTTCTGAAGGATGAGTGGTGGATATATTAACCATGTCAACAACTGAGCCTCAGATTGAGTGGATGTGTGGCAAGCTTGGAGCTATTGACCTTCATGCTCCAATTTCATGGGCAGTATATAAAAAAACTCACCCCCTCCCCGAGGGTCTCCAAAACCGGCATGGCAGCTTGCTTTAGCGGAGCTCTAATCGCAATATGATTGATAGAGAGTGGGATCTGCACCTGATACTTATAGGGACTCCTTGCTGAGCACGATTGCCCCTAACGTAGTTGTCAGGAGAGAGGGTAAGTGTTGAGAAACATAAGAATTGGGTGCGTTTATACAGAAGGGGCATTGGTGCACTCGAGGTTGGGTGATATGTTTAAGATTTCAGAGTTTAGATGAAAGTTTATTTGTATATTTCTTCGGTTTTATTTTTTCCTTTAATAGAACACTTAAAGGTTGCATGTAAGTAGAACACCAGATATTGCCCTATACCCTTATCAGATCCGTTTTATTTATTACTTGTGAAATTTAAGGCCCCATTCCTTAACAATTCGCTCCAGGACAATAATATTCTTGAATTGTTTAATGCAACTAACCAAGCATCTAAGCTACAATTCGTGGAGGGTGCCAGTTTTGAAGGAACCCTCTTTCAGAGGTATATGTCTATTATAACTAATTAGTATTTGTTTATAGGAACTATTTAGAAGACAGATCAACAAGTTACGAGTACTTAATGTTCGTAATGGAGGAGCTATTTCGCTGTTTGATGGAGTGACTGTCTGAAATATGTTATACCTTTTACAGGTTCCCTTCTGAGTTGCTGAAAAAGTTGAGTGAGGATCGCCTTGCCATGCAACATCATCGCGTGAGTTCCCCAGAAGCAGATTGTATTTCCCATTGTTTTGCTATGATAAATAGTTATAATTATGGATTTACACAAAAGCAGACTTTTCTGTTATATTCTTAGGGCTTGTTTGCAACCAATTAAAAAAAGTGATTTTGGCTTTTTTTAAAGAAAAAAGCACTTATTTTTTCAAACACTACCAACTTTTACTTCCTCGATTTTCGTGTAGAATCTACTTTTTACTTTTTCTATTACACAAAAAGCACTTATTTTACCAAACACTACCAACTTTTACTACTAATCACTTTTTCCCCAAAAGTGCTTTTATTTAAGCACAAGTGGTTGCAAACAGAGCCTTAGCAAGCAGGCTGTTCTTATTCTCTCTTTTTGAAACAGTATGGCATTTCACCAGAAACATTTCGAGCAAATGCAGACCTGTGTAGCTTTTTCAGGATGTTGACAACATGTGCTGATAAAGATAATAAGGTAAGCAAATACCACCCTACATCAGATATGACAATTTCTACTCCTGCATTCCCTTCAATGGGTTGATTCTAACATCTATGAGTTAAAATAATGTGACACTGTGTCAGGTCTATGTCTCTACAGTTCAAGCAAAGAGCTACCCTGTAACTGCTGCGCAGTGGCACCCAGAGGTTTGTCTTAGTGAAAATACATAACTATCCGGTAAAATATTTTACATTTTTTTAAATAATAAACTTGCTGTGACAAAGGTTAAAATTGTGCCTTTTATGATCTAGAAAAATGCTTTTGAATGGGGCTTATCTCAAATTCCACACACAGAAGATGCAATTCAAGTGACTCAACATGTTGCCAACTACTTTGTTAGGTAGGGTTATTTCCTACAATCCATTATCACTGTAGGTATTGCAATATATTAGCTTAAGTTTTGTCATTGTTTTTTACTGAAGGAATGGGAATATATTAGCTTAGGCTCTAAATATAAGGTTTTGCAAATTAACACAAGATGTTGAGTGTTTCACAGCAAGACACTGCCCTCTTCTTGGATATTTCTTGGACTAAGACCAAAACTAAGATCATTTTTAGATTTCAGTCAGTTATCCGTGGCAGATAGGGATTAGATAATTCACTGAAGCAGCAGAGTTAGAAAAGTTTTTTTGTAATTATAAAACAGAGATCTACCTAAAAAAGGGGAAAACTATAGAAAACCTATGCTCAGTACAGGATGGAGTTCCTATGAAGTGTTTTCCAGGTCTCTCCAGGATTTGATGGATACAGAGTTACAGACTATACTACCTTTCAGTATCATTCTAGATTATTTTTCATAAATGTATTTCTTGTTTTGTAATTTTATTCATTATGTTTTTCAGTGAAGCCCCAAACTCTTTTGGGACTAAGACTTGGATGATGATGTTGTTGTTGTATGTTTTCCAGTGAAGCAAGGAAGTCTTTAAACAGACCAGATGCTCAAAGAGTGCGTGACAACCTTATATACAACTATAGTCCCTCTTACAGTGGGAAGGCGGGGTAAGTACCTTTTCAGACTGCTTTCGTAATGTGGCAATAAAATTTTGGGTATTTATATCTTTCTTTTTCCTACAGGAGAGGTTATGATGAGGTTTACATCTTCACTCAACAATCTGAGTTCTTTTCAGATGTAAATACTTTGTAATATCAATCTAATCGATTATATAACAACGGAGTACATAAGAGCTCTCAGTGTTAATGTGTAAGGCATCAGATCTCCCTTCATTTCTACTTGTTCTTTTTCCGCTCTATCTGCTTCAAACTTTACATCTTTGCTTGTCTTTATGTCTGTTGTTTTTTCATTTCCTTCTAGCTTGTGGATCTTCCTCGTACATGCTGTGGAACCAAAGTTGGTACTCTCGTCAATTTCTGATCAATTTAAGTGTTGTATGTCTCTTATGTAAACTAAAATAAATCTGTGTGTAATTTTACAATTCTGTAAACCATTTACTCACCCTCTGCATGCATATCATTAGTTTTCATTTCGCGAAACGAGTGACATATATGAGGTTTGTTCTTTTAATATGGTATGGTTCATTTTCTCTTGGATATTTTATGTCTTGGTAACTATTTTTTTGTTCAACAAATTCTAATATTATCTATTACTCCCTCCGTCCCGAATTATAAGATACTTTTCGGTTTACGATGTTTGACCGACAATAAAGCAAACGAATCCCTATCTGCACTCAAATTATTTTTAGAAAAAAACAATTACATATTCAGAAACTACATTAAAACCGCTACAAAACCTGTAAAAAAAATTCAAATTTCATAAAATTTTGATATATAAAGTAAGAGATTAAGAGTGATTTGTGTTGATCGAGTGAATAGTAAAGATATCTTATAAAATGGGACAGAGGAAGTATTGTGTATGCAAGACTTATTTTCCATCATTTTCAAAGGAGCCAAAGGCTCACTGTTTTCAATCATCGCTAATGGCCACCATAATTTGCACTCTATGGAGCAATAACTGAGATATAAGTAGGAGTGAGACTTTGACGTTCAAATGAAGCGGAAGTCGTCCTGAAAGTGAA